CGCCCCCAACTGGTCCCCCCAGTACCTGCTCCCACGCCAGCGCACAGTCACTCTCCTTAGCAGCACTCACATCCCACTGTCGGGCCGTAACCCCATGCTGCAGGAAGCGCTGGGCATCCGCCCGCATATTCTGGTGCTGAACAAGATGGACCTGGCTGATCCCCGCCGGCAGCCGGTGAGCACCAGGGCAGGGCTGGCTGGCTGGCTGGGGGCCCATGGGTCACCGCAGGCAGGTGCCAGCAATGCCTCTGCCTGTCCCCTTCAGACAGTCTTGGAGCACCTGAAGCAGCGGGGATGCTCGCACGTTGTCTTCACTGACTGCCAGCGCGATGGCAATGTCAAGAAGGTAATGGGCCAGCAGCCCTGTGCCCAGCCCTGCTCCTCACTGCCAGCAGCTGAGGGCCATGCGCTGATCTCCCAGCCCCGTGGAGAGGCCTCAGTGCCACACTGTGAGGAGGTGACACTGGCTGGTCCAGAGGGATCTTCATTTTCCCGCTCACCCAAGGCGCCCCGTCCTCTGCTTGGCCCCCATTTTGCGCATCCTCCTGGCACAGAGTCCTCCAAGCAAGTGGCTGCTGCCAGCCTGGGCACAGAGCCGCAGTCACAGCCCTTCTCCGTGTTTCTCTGCAGATTGTTCCCCTGGTTGCCAAGCTGGTGGGCAACAGCCCACGCTACCACAGGGCTGAGGTGAGACGCGGGCAGCAAAACTGCCAGTGCATGCGCAGGGAGTCAGGGTGGCCATCTGCAGGTCACCTTCCTCTCCAGCTGGAGGGACGAGGCTGCTTGCATGCATACCAGAAGCACTGGCAAAGGCCAGGCCGTTTCGCTGTTGTGGCTGCCCATCACTCCTGTGGTGGGTGGCTGATAACTGGCCGCTCCCTGCCTGCGTCCTTCTCGCTTCCAGAGCACCGAGTACAGCATCCTGGTGATCGGCGTGCCCAACGTGGGCAAGTCGTCGCTCATCAACTCCCTGCGGAGGCTGCACCTCAAAAAGGGTATTTCTCTATGGTGCCTGGGCTCAGGGAGGAGCCACTGGCGCAGCCGTGGAGCGGGCGGCAGGGCAGCGCGTTGCTTGCTTCTCTGACTGTGTCTCCTTTCCCCAAAGGGAAAGCCACCGCGGTTGGTGGTGAGCCAGGCATCACCAAGGCAGTGCTGACCAGAATCCAGGTACCATCCCCGTGGCGCAGCTGGCTGGGTGGGTGCTGGCCTCTGCCTCCCTGTGTCCTCTCACAGGAGCTCTGGAAAACCTCGAGGCACACAGAGCTGATCTCAAAGGGTTGCTTGGGTCCCCTTCCCAGCAAGAACTTAAGGAAAGAGCTCAACACCTCGCTCATTAGCCATGTCAGAGTCCACAGTGCTAGTTATCGAGCCGCATGTCCTAACTGCCCTGCCTCCCCCATCCCAGGTGTGCGAGAAGCCCCTGATGTACCTGGTGGACACACCTGGCGTGCTGCCCCCAAAGCTGGGGGATGTGGAGACGGGCATGAAGCTGGCGCTGTGTGGTGAGGAGGCTGTGGCCAGGGGGACGCCCCAAATGTGGCTTCGAGCCCCAGCTGGGACTGGTACCTGAGTCGGGGGCGGGAGTCTGCTGCTCACGGCCCCCCCGGGCCAGTGCATGCTGCCTGGGTGCCCATGGGTGGCACGTGGAGGGCAGGAGGTGTGGCCGGGTCTTGGCTGGGGCTCAGAGCAGGGTTAGGGGAGCTGGGGCTTGACCCTCTTTTCCAGGAGCCATCCGTGACCACCTGGTGGGAGAGGATATCATGGCTGACTACCTCCTGTATGCCCTGAACAAGCAGCAGCAGTTCGGGTGAGCCAGTGAGGGAACCGGAGAGGGCCCCAGGCCGCATCCGCTGCCTGTGGTCCCAAGTGGGTGGTGGAGAAGCTGTCCCTGGGGAATTGACGGGGGTGGGGGGAGAAGCGATGCCAGCAGGGTGTGGGCCACCTCCTTCCGTAGGTACGTGCGGCGCTATGGTCTGGCCGAGGCCTGCGACGACATCGAGCCTGTGCTGAGGCGCGTGGCCCTCGCCCAGGGCAGGACGCAGAAGGTGAAGGTGTTGACGGGCACAGGTGAGTGCTCTGGGAGGGATCTCTGCCACCTGGGGTGCAGGGGCCAGGCTTTTGGGGATCCTGGGGTAACTCCAGGTTCCGCTGACACCTCCTTCCGCACCCACCACCCCCATCTCCAGGGAACGTCAACGTGACGATGCTCAACTATCCGGCTGCTGCCTATGAGTTCCTGCAGGATTTTCGGGCGGGACGCCTGGGCAGAGTGACACTGGACTGAGGCCTGTGCCATGGGGGAGAGGCACCGCCTGCAGCCACGCAGGCTGGGGACACCCTGGTGCCCCATGGGGCTGGGGACACCTTGGAATGGAGCTTTGGTGTGCGATTTGAAGCGGCTCTGCCGGGGCAGCCCCCAGTTTCAGACCACGGGCTGCTGCAAGGGGCCGGGGGGACAGGTTTCCCACGGCGGGGGGTGAGGCTGTGCTGTGGTGACTGCCCCATGGTGTCGCCTTGCGCGGCGATGCTCTCCATGGGTAGTGCGGTGCCCACCCAGGAGGGCCTGGAGGACGGCTGCTGCCTCCAGCCAGGATAAAACCCCTGTGGAGCTGTTTCCTCGCTGCGGTCTTGACCCTCTCGGGGACCTCCATCCCGAAATAAAACCTCCATGAGCAGGGTGCTGGGGTGGTGGCCGTCCCAGGGTCCCCCTCCTGAGCCCCTTGCCCTGCATCCAGCCACACCTGCTTTCTGCCCGGCTTTATTGCCGCCTCCTCGTCCTCCAAACACTGCGAGTCCCACATACAGAGGAGCGGCACGAATGGGGTGCCTGAGCCGACGGGGTTTGGCACGGGGTAGGGGGGGGAGGTGGTGGAGGGGCTTCGCGTGGGGTCCTGCCCCGGTGGTGGCGGGTAACCAGGTGAGGCTGGGTGCTGGGTGGCGCAGTCTTGGGAGCCGCTGCTAGCCCAGGGGGGTGGGCTCAGCCCCGGGGGCGGCCAGTCCTCACGACATCGATAGCTGCACTGGGCACAGTCGGGTCCCCCGAAACCATCAGCGGCGGAGAACAGCGGCCAGGGGGCAGAGCCAGGACACGGCCCAGCCCGGCGGGTCCCGGCCTGGTGCGGCAGAGGTCCAGGCGCTGGCAGCAGCCGTCCAGTTGCCGTCATGGTACTCTACACCGTGGCCCACTTCCAGCTCCCCAGCCAGCCGGGTCCACCGCAGCG